CACACACACACACACACACACACACACACACAATTAGTCTTTCTCTCCTTTTTCATCAAATTATATGAACATCTAGTGAATGAGTTCTATACATACATTCAAGCTCAAATAAAGTAATGTAAAACACAAAAGATATTCTCCCAGAAATAAGCAGGAAGAAATACATATATAGAGATTTAAAATATGCATTTAACTTAAACATGACTATCTGAATATTTCACATGAGGAATTGTTTATTTCAGTAATATCTTGGTGCTCGAGCAGGATACCATTTGTCAACACAAGTGTCTAATTGATAGTTGCCTTGTCTCTTACAAACTAGAAAATGACTTCTCGATGTAATTCAGTGTACGAGGAGCCTCATGTGATGTCACCCACTCTAACCTGCTCCCATTGACAACCAATTTTAAATGTGACCAATTGAAAATTGAAGTCTGTATCCAAAGAGTGGTGAAAGTTGTTGAATCTCAATGTGAATGGTTTAGGAGATTTTAACAATTCTTCCATCCATTTCAATGGGATACACTGTGTGGAATATTTTCACCCAGGCAACAATCCCACCATTTATTGCTTCCACAGTCGGGGAATTCAAACCAGTCTAAGGCTCAACAAGTTCCAAAGTTCCATGTTGTTGTGTAAGTGTGGTAGACATCATCCATTTCAGTTATGAAAAGCCACTCACATGTTTCCACACTTATCTTCCATTCCCACCTGAACTCATTCACAAATATCTCTCCAAATATCCGTCTTCTTATCTCTGTACTAACACCGTCAAACCTCCACTCTGTTTTCCACTCTCAATATCCTGTGTGTCCCCGTCCCACCCTTCTTACTTTCTCCTCTTTTTAACCGCCTCTTTTTTCTCTCTCCCCTTTTCTCCCTGCAGGCTTTGCCAGTCCAGTGACAGGCATGGCGGTGCCGGGCCAGAGCACGATGCACAACTCCCTGCACGTCTTCATGAACGGCTCCATGTCCTCGGTGCAGGGTTCAGCCAACGACCCCATATTCTTGCTGCACCACGCTTTCATTGACAGGTATGGTGATACACACACTTTCCTCTGATATAAGCCATTGATGGTTATTGATAGATTTTCATGTTCTTACTTCAGAAAATACACTCTTACCCATATCAAATTAAACCACAGTTTAAAAAACACATTTCAAAATTATTTTAAATCACTTGTTAAAATTTAAATATCAAACCCTACTGTTCCTGTATTATCTACAGCCATTATATAATTACTCCATTAGCTTTATCAGATCCTTACCCACTCATCCCTCTTTTTCCTTAAATATCTCCAATCCTCTTTATCTCTCTGTTTCTCCTTCCATCCAGTATCTTTGAACGCTGGCTCAGGACCCACATGCCTCTCCGGGCCAACTACCCCCTCGCCAATGCCCCCATTGGCCACAATGATGGCTACTACATGGTGCCCTTCCTGCCTCTCTTTAGAAACGGAGACTACTTCTTGTCCAACAAGGCTCTGGGATTCGAGTACGCCTATTTGCTGGACCCTGGTCAGTACAAAGCAACAAACATGTCCAGTGGACGAGTGTTTCTAGGACGTTTATGCTACAACTTTGTCTCGTCTTTCTCACCACAGGACAGAGGTTCGTGCAGGAGTTCCTGACGCCATACCTCGAACAGGCCCAACAGATCTGGCAGTGGCTCCTGGGGGCCGGGATCCTCGGGGCTCTCATCGCAGCGGTCCTCGCTGCGGTGATTGTTGTTGCGAGGAGGAAGTGGAGGCGTAACCAGAGGAGGAAGAGGGTGTCAAGCTACGGAGAGAGACAACCACTACTGCAGAGCAGCTCAGAGGAAGGCTCGGCCTCATATCAGACCACTCTGTAACACACACACTGTACATACTGTTACATGAATGTGCAAACTATTAAGGACACATGATTCCATGACACAAATGAATAAGATGAATCTTAGTACAAGGATACGTCTTTTTTTTATTCCTGAGAATAAATCAATTTAGATTTTTTAATAAAGGTACAGATGAGTTAGAGAAGAGCCTTTAAAGTCAGTTCACCCGAAATCTCAAAAAGTAAATATTTCTCCCTCATAGTATCTGGCAGACCGCTTTGTGTGTGTGTGTGTGTGTTGTTGAGATACCTGCTAATATATCTGCTCATCTGCTTTTGAACAATAGGGGTGAAGTGAATTTTATTTGTGGTGGTCATAGCGCTCATTAGGAACACAATTTATTTTCCAAGGTTTTCTTTCAATTTCTTTGTGCAAAAAAAGACAGAGGAGAACAGAAGAGACGGTTTAAGACATCTCCACAAATGGATTGTTTAAACGTTGATGAGGGGAGATTTGGGTGAAATGACCCTTTACAGATTGAGACAAGGAGCAAAGTCCTTCAGATGTGCCTGATATTTTACACATTCAGTACATGTCATGTCAGAAATATCTCTGTGTGACACAAACGTACAACGTGACAGACTTTCAGAGCCATCAAGAGATCTTTATCACAAAGCAACACCTCCCTGCAGTTTGCAGGTCAAACACCTTGAGGGATATTTATTGTCTATTTACAGAGGCCACTCTGCAGCCAATGACAGCAGCTGTAGTTAGATAAGATCATTGACTTGTGCAGAGACACATTTCATCTAATTTATTGTCCACTTGTATGTTACTGGAAATCATTGAGATTCAGTAAATAGTCACTTAAAGCCAGGTCATGTCTGCTGATCTGTGGGGACAGCTCGAGTTGTTGAAAGCACTTTATTTGTTGCTTCATACAGATAAAGTCCCGGTCACACGTACCAGAGTGTGTCAGCAATGAACCCTGTTCACTTCCAATCAGCACCAGCTAGGGAGGTGAGGAAAACATTTGTTTTATGTGGCGAAGCAAATGGCAGAGTGATTTCACGTAGAGTTTAACTTTGTTGAACTTTGACCCATGATATTCTCTTTACATTCATGTATCTGTGACCGGGCCTGAAATCTGAGTCCCAAAAAACATACTTTTAATCAGTTTATGTCTTTCAGTGCAAAATTCTGAAAAAACTGACCAAACCGACAACACACTCTCGTGTGTTAGCACTGGTGCTAAAGGAGCGCAGCATACTCACAATATGTATCATGATAATGAAGATGAATCAGGATTTTGTAAATGCTGCATTAAAATCAGACTTGATCCAAGTTTCCTGTGATTTTATTCATTTGTTGGTTTAGTAGAAATGTTCACTTTGTTTTTCTGGTTTGTCAAACATCGATTTCATGGTTTCTGGCAACTTCAAACAGAAACAAGTTTTTTTAGTTTCATAAATTTAGCAAAGGCTTAGTTAGCTAGAGACGTTGTAAACAGTATTTTTTTTTATTGTCAGAAGACAATTGTTTCTTGAGTATATGCTTGTAACTATGAATTACATAACAGGATCAGCAGTAGTAATTAATTATGCACAAATATTCAAGATGTAATAAATAGAAAATCTTTTATTTCTGATTTGGGCTTGTTCTTTAAAAAAAGACAATGCTGAACATAGACAATTCAACATCTAAAAACATTTTGATTTAAAATGCTAGTTACATATTGAGAGTTTTTTTTTCTTTCAATCACAAAATTTGAAATATCAAGAGGTTGATTGACTCCTTAACTCCTAAAGCTACTAATATGTACTGTTCCTCATTTATTTTTTATCCATACTCCATTGAGATATGTCAAAGTATTTTGTGGAAATACACATCAGAAGATTTTCACATGTTAAATAACTTGTAAGAAATATAAATAAATTCCAAAAAATAACAAACTTAAAGTACTGGCTTGAGGTGTAGTTGTGCAGGTTTGCTTTAGTACAACAGCAAATCAAACAGGATGAAAACAAAGACTTTATCAAGTGTCGGCTGTTTGTGCTTTGTTTCCACTTCTTTAATCTCAGATCCTGATGAGTGACAGTGTTATTAACCAATCAGAAACTTGTCTCCCAGCTCAGAAACTACAAATCCTGCTCCCTGAGAGGGACACACAGAGCTCCCCTATATTCTCAGAGCTTTTGTTCTCACATGAAAGACATCACATGGTTTTCTGTCCATTTTCAAGGATCTGTCATCATATATACCTTTCATGGTGACAGTGTGCCAAAGGCTAAGACTCATGGGAGCAGTGGTTTTTCAATGCAAAGTAAAAAGAGACTTCTCCTTATGGTCTCAGTTCGTAAAACTCAGTCTTTTAGAATTTAACGTAACAGCTTGTGTCTGTATTAACATGTCTCTCTACAGCCTGAGGACTTTGGTCAGTAGAGCTGCTCGGGGGCGAGTTTGGTTTTTAAATGGACGATGGATGAGGTTGATCGTTAATCTAAAACTGTTTTTTGCTTATTTGATTTGTCTTGTGGTTCCACTCCTTTGGTTTGGTAACTATTTCTCTGGATAAAAAAATTGTTTTTCTGGTCCCTGGTTCCCTGAAAGATGAACTCCTGTAGTCTCCATGTGTTTGTTGACGTTTTTTCAGATTAGACTTCAGCATGAGTGAACAGATTTACTCCACAGTGGGGAAAAGATAGAACCAGCAGCAGACGTGGAAAAACAGATCATCAGGAGCTGTTCTCCTCAGCTCGTCTCAGTGGTTTGATCGGATCAGAGGCTGAAGTAGAAGCTTGTGGAGCTCTCGGTCATGGGTCATTTCAGCCTGCAGACACAAGCTTGTGCTACATGGTAACGTCTTCTGCTCCCAGGTCTTTAGTGAGCAGTGACAAGGAGACGTATGAAATATAAATACTGTCTGTTTCTTTTCTTGGACATGCACAAAATTTGACCACGATTGTCCAAAGTTCTTCGGAAATGTACTTTTAAAAAAATGTATAAAATCCATCCCAAAGTTAAATCAGCTGAATGATTCCTTGTTGAATTCAAAGATTGTTCCAGAGGATCGGCTTGAGTTACATAATCTGTGGAGAGTCCTGGAGATGCCCCTCGGTCCACAGCAGAAAACCCCCACTCGCTTACTGAAACCATGGAAGAAGACGGTAATGGTGTGGGATGTTCACAATTCATCAGTTTGACAGAAACAAACATTCTACGTTCTCACGCCACTCACTTCTTATTGGTCCTCCCAATCTCATCAAACAGCAACTTCCACCTGGGTCGTCCAACCAGCAGCCTGGAGGTGAGGGGGCGGTACTTCTCCTCAGACATGCTCTGGAAAAAAATGACGGGAGACATGGGAAAAAAATTTAAATCCCTAAAAACAATTAAATGAAACCAGGTCTAAATGAACACCCTAAACATTCATGCTCTCAGCAGATTGAAGGTCAGGTTTCAGTCCTCTACTGAAACTTGCCTTAAAGATCCATCAGCCACCATTACGTTCAACTGAGCTTCTGCTTAATATTCCCACAGGAAGCTGATCACATTTCTGTTGTTTAGTTTTTTGTATTAAGGACCAACAGTCCCTTTATTATATATCCTCACACATTAATGTAGTATACATTATATACATAATACAGTATATAGTGGCATATACAGTCATGTGTGAGGATATACGAAAATTCCTTATTCATCACGAAATATGAATTATTCTGAGAAATCAGTGAAAATGTAACATGAAACATAAACATGGTGTAAGAGAAAACCACACCATGTTGAATGTGATTCTGTGGTGGTTCAGTTTGTGGTGATAAGCCTCACATTCATCACAGACATGTGGTTTTACATATGTGTTACATATTCATTGTTTAACATGTTCTTCGCACCGTGCAACAGTGTGACAGTTTAGATCATAAATACGCTCTCAGGGTATTATTACATCCTGTATTATACTCATATTACATACTATACTTTTCATGGTGACAAAATGTTTTTGAGCTTAATGGTCCTAATATGTTTTCATATATTTTCATATATGTGATCATGTCATCTTCAATGCACTGGACTCTCTCGCTCCCTCTGTCATGTACTGCCCTCTAGTGGACAACTGGACAATGTACTGTGAATTTAGAATCTGACCCCAACCATCATGTCTCTAGACTGTGAGAGGAGGCTGGAGTACATCATAGACTAGTGTTTGTGTGTGTGTGTGTGTGTGTG